ACTAAATCGGATTATCTCTTCCTTGCTGTGAGCCCTTTCAAAAGCACCTGGCAGCCTGCAAATTAACACACACCTTACTATTATCTAGTAATAACGAGGTAAGGGAGGAATCATGGGACCTCATACCACGCAAAATTAACCTGTGGCCATACGGCTCAGGTTCACAACCCCTATTTTACACAGGAGATTTAGGAGCATCTCTCACATGCTTCTACTTGTCAGAGAGAAAGGATACACAGAAAGACAGTCTTGTCAATTGAATGATTCTGAATTAAGCTAAAGACACACCATCATTTGGAAATGTGATTGGTTTTGTTAGGAGATATTGTTTGGTACTGTTGTACTCATTTCGGTTCTAAGTGTCTTCAGATGCAAGTCCAGCCTTTGCCTAGTTGATTTTTATGATCTTTGACACCTGTTTAAAATCATTTAAACATCTGTTTAATGCTGCTTCTCTGTGATCATAATATAAAGGATCCTGGTGGTCAGCACAGGACTGTCAAACACAGGAAAACATTTGGGAAAGGGAGGGAGGGAGGGAGGGAGGGAGGAAAATGTTCCTTCCAGTCCTAGTCACACTGCATTACTTTCAGCAATCAAGGACAACAGGCAAAATACCAGGAGACAGGATGAGGTTTTGCAGTTAATAGCAGCCTAAGTGCACACACTAACCATTTATCTGGGCTTCATTATCCATAATACATGTATATACATGCTTGTAGGGGTAGCCTAAAAATAATTCTCTTGCTTTGTACATACAGGGCCTGAGCTGGTGACACTGAAGTCACAGCACATTTGACCTTCCAGGTGCACTGGCTCATGGCTGGACAGAGCCTGTGTTTGTCTCAGTTCTATAGCAAGCTTCACACCAAATCTGGCAGTCCAGGCATAAACCCACTAAGCAGTGCATCTCAAAAGTATCTACGCAGGCTTCACCTCTATGTGACTTCCCATTTTATTTTTGTTCATAGAAAACATTCTCAGTGTCTTTCAAAGACAGAATGATGCATTTCCCCTGTAAACATGAATAACTATAATCAACAGCTAGGCACGGGAGAGCTTGCTTCAGCCTCTGACAAACACACACCAAGAAGCAGGATATCCCCACACACAAGCAACTCCAACCCTCGCTGCCCTCAACACAGCACAAAGGGCACATTTGTGCTGAGGCATGTGAAGGCGAAGTCATCTGCAGAGGGAGAGAGCTGGCATCCCAAATCAGACACAGCCACACTCAGCACAACTTCATTGGCCTTAAATGGGGAGAAGAAGATGGAGTTAGCTACAGAGACAACCTGCAGGCCTGTGGGCACTACTGGCAGTCCTGCATGGAGAACTTCAGGTGGCAAGGCAAGCCTGGAAATGAGATGGAGACACTACAGAAACTTCCACAGTAATTTTCCAAAAGGTAACTCACAGAAGTTTACATAGAGCAGTATTTTAAGCTATTTTACCCTCTGAACAGAGTGCTGACAGGAGCAATTGTCTGTGTCTGCTGCCTAGAACCATCAATGGAAACCCTGAAGATTAAAAGCACACTCAGCAGGACTATGACTAACAGGCTTTCTCCTGAGAAGTTTGCAAGTGGCAAACAAACAGTTCTCAGGAAACCAAGTTACTCCGTGCAAGCATGAAGAATAAGCCGCGCAAAGAACCGCAGGCAGAGTGCAAGGAGAGCAGTGGCAGGAAGCACCCTGAATCTCATGGCTTCTCAGAGGACAGAAGAAAGGTGGGTCCAGGCAATGACTACTGCTCAAAAAGCAGCTGCAAAAGTCAAAAAACAACCGATACTTTCACACTTACGGAGCTTTAGGTGAAGGAGAAAGCTCATGAGGAGGAGAGAATGGCAACTCAAAATACAGGAAGGAATAAAGAGTTGCAGTGAGCAGGATCCCCCAAAACAGCATCTGAGGGGCACAGCAGGGGTTTTCATGCCCTGTCATATGTCCAGAGCCAGGCTCAAGCCATGTCAGTGCAAGTCTGGAGACACATAACCTGCAAACCTCTGGCCACCTGCTTGTTGAAGTGCTCGTCTTCTGTTCCTTCTGCACCCTAGCTTGAATGCAAAGGCCTTTATCACATGCAGCTGCACCCTCACATAATATAAAATACTAGCACTTATCAAAATGGAACAGGTAGAACCAATAAACTGAATGGGGAACAACACAGAATTGAAAACAACCTTTTCTTTTTCAGTTCTTAAAGCAATTTGCATGCTTGCTGTGATCAGCATCCACTGCAGAGATGGCAAGAAAAAGGAACGGCTAAAAGTTTTAAGACGTAGAGCAAGTTTTGCAGTATTTGTATAAGACAACCGAAATAGTAAGTGTATCTGAATGTTTACAACTGCATAGACATGCCACTACAGACAAAGGTTACGATTCTAGGCATTTAATTTAAGTTTTATGAACTAACTCAGGTTGTTTTCAGCTTAGCACTTACCCATTCAAACATGGCTAGCGGGGGGTTACTGGAAAAAAGAAGGCCTAAAAGAAACTCATGCAGCAACAAACAATGGTAAAATACACTTACTGCGGTTACATGATTTAAGGATTTCTTGTGGCCCGACTGATGAGCTAGCAATTACCATTACTGGAAGCAAATTTAAGAAATCTGCACTAATGCTAAACCCTCAAACTAAGCTCTCCTGTCTAAGGAGTGAATGCAGCCAAAAGTACCGATAGGATCTTTGAAGGATTAAGCATACCAATTCCTTAACACCTTTCAGCTATATCAAAAAAGATGTAATAATGAAAGTCTGTCTTCAGAGCCTGTATAATAAACTGCGTAATTAATTCCTCATCTGTCTGAATGCTCCACGTACTGTCAGATGCAGTAGGTAAGAGAAGCCAAAAATGGAGGTAAGGAGGAAAGAGGTTACTTAGAGAAATGTGTTTGAACTCTCATCATGGAGGTTCTCATGTCTTCTACATGAAGCTCTCCCCACTGGTCAAGAAAGTCATGGATCCGGAGAAAAGCATGTGCTACAGAAATCACAATGACAGGCAGAGCTCTTAGTTTTGGAGTCAACCTCCCCTTGAGCATCACAACTAAGACCTGAACCAGACTATACAGTGCATAAAAAGCAGCCCATACTCATAGAAGCCCAGGTCCCAACCGCTATGGTTCACAGTGTCCTACGTACTGTAATTCCCATTGCAAGAGACTGCAAGCACACAGGCTGCTGTGGCCTCTGGTGTTTAAGCAACAGGAAACAATTTCCTGAATCACTGCAAGTTATCACTGCCACAATTGCCTCGAACCTCAAGAGCTGGAAGAAATGCAGAAGGCTGCTCCCACAGCCTCAGCGAAGCTGAGATGTTACAGGAATGCAAATCTTCCCAGTCACATCATTCTTCATCTCAGCTTCACCTCTGTTTTGCCTCGGTCTGCCTATAAACACATGGGGCTGCTGTTACTGTGTCACTTTTAGTCAAGAGGTGGGCCAGCCTGGGTATAGTGCTCTTGCATCTGAAGTAGATTTGTCCACCAATATTCTAAGCATCCCCAAAGCAGGCACACTACAGGGATATAATGGCAGCCTGAAGGAGCCTCATCCCTCAGCCTTTCTCAGAAGAGAAAGGAGAACACAAGAACAACAGCCTGTCATTTTTTATAGCACTACAGACTTCATAAAGATGTGGTCCACCTGACTTAAATCTGTTTTGACTTCTGCTGCTGAAGCAAAATCCTTGCTACAAGATGCCAGCAAAGGTTTAATAACTCTGAAGGCAGCAAATTCAAGGGATTCATTAAAACACATGGAAAGCACTGAAACGGTACAATTTTGGTGCTCTGTAACTTATGTATTTTTAATAATAATGCTTGCTGCTTAGATTTTTTAATATGCAGATTCTACCTGAATCTCCCTATTTGAGACTCAGTCTGGGCACCACAGGGTAGTGAAGACTTGTGGTGTGAAACACTTTATTTGCCAGTTCTAAGTACCACATCTAAAGATGAGGATGTTCAAGAGATATGTCAGGAGGCAGGCCATAAACACTGCCGTCTGTTACACACAAAAACGCATTATTGACTGTGCTCGGTCAAACAGTGATGGTTTTACTTTAGAAGTGGCTTTATCCTTTTCTCCTTTCAAAACTCTTCTAAACGTTCTATGTCTTTGGCAGGTTTCCACAGAAAAGCATGCACAGGCTGTGAGGGAGGTTTGTGACCTCTAAGGGAAGGGGTATTTGGAGAGGGTCTTCTGAACCCAGCAGGAAGGTCTGGGGCTCGCAGGACACCCACGCTGCCTATCACAGGCAGACCTCCTCAGATTAAAAATAGCAGATTAAGGCATGCAAAGTGTGTAACAGTTGGTAAGGTATGTGGATAAATCAGGATGAAGGATCCATAATATCAATTTACTAAATATTTCTAAATGCTTTTAACGACCGGCAATGCGAATACTGATTACAGCTGTCTGCCCACTGCTAAATTTAACACTATCGAAGGGTTTAATACTATGGGTTTTCCTAGTAGCCTGTGAACATCGGCTATAGCTAAACAGAATAGGCGCTTCCTAAGTAAAAAGGGGACAGGAAAAATAATGCATACGTATGGCACAGCAACAGAACGAGGGAGAAACCCCAAGGAAGGACAAACAGAGCCGAGAGGCCTTTCGAAACGCACCAACGTCCACTCCAATTGACCCCGACGACGGGAGATGTCAGGATTTCACCAAAGACCGCGGGCCGACGGCGGCACCCGGCTGCGCGCCGGGGCACAGGCGAGCGGGTACCCGGCTGCCGCGACGCCCGGCGGGCTGCGACCGCCCCGGGCCCACGGCCTCGGGGGAACAGACCATGTCCGCCGGGAGGAGACGAGAAGCGCGTCTGCAGCGGGCAGCGAGGAGCCGGCACCACACGGCCACGGCAGCTGCGGGCCCTGCCGAGACCCCGCTGAGAGGAAGGGCCTCCCCTGGCGGCTCGGCCGCCCCGCACAGCTCTGAAGCAGAGTCCGCCGCCCCGTTCCCGCCCGCCCCGCGGCGCGGCGCCCACCTGGTCGGCGAGCTTGAGCACTGCCATCCTAACCGCTCCTCCCGCGCACATGCAGCTCCTCCGGAGAGCGCGCCCCGCGACCGCCGCCGCTGCTCCTACTACTGCTGTGGCGGCGGCAGCGGTTCTGCTCCGCGCCGGCGGGGTGGAGGCCGCCTCGCCTCGCCTCGCCCAGCCCAGCCCGGCCCAGGAAGCAGGGGCGGGCGGGCTGCCTCGCACGGGCAGCGCCGCCACCGCCGCCTGCCGCTGCCTTTGTTCGCGCCGGCGGCCGCTGCCTGCGCGCAGCGCAGCGCGGGGCCACCCCGGGGGCTCTCCGCGCCCCCGCCCCGCCGGGCAGCGCGAGGGGCGGTGCCGCCGGACCGGGCCTGCCCCGGCACACGGAGGCTGAGGGGGTTGATCCCGGACCGGCGGCCTGGCCGCGGGGGTAGCCGGGGGTCCCCGGGGGCACCTGCCACACGGCGCGGGCAGGACGCGGGGGGAAGCCGAAACGCGGGCGCCCGCAGCCCCCTCAGGGGACAGGCGGCGATGGCCCTCTCAGAGCGGCTGTGGAGGCCGTGCTACCCCCGGCCCGCTGCAAGGGGGTCCAGGCTTGGGGCGTAGTACACTTGGCTACGAGCCCATGCGCACCGAAGTCTTCAGGCCTACTGTGGCTCCCACCGGGCTGAGGGAATGCAGGGAACGTGCTACCCCAAGCCTGCATAAAAGGGGAAATTGATGCCTTTTCCTTTCTTTCCCTTTTCCCCCATCAGTGTTTGTCAAATCACATCCACCAGGCAAAACTGTCAAGAGTGGTTTTGGTTTTGTTTTGGTTTTTTTTTAATCTCTTTTGGGATTACAGTGTTAACAGCTGCCTTGCACTAATCTGGTCCAAGTGTTTTCATACTCAATGTATTATTTTACTTCTCAAGGACCAGCACATCAGATAAGCTGCACTTCTTTTTAAACAAGCAAGCAAACAAGCAGTACTGTCCTTGCCCCGTGCTGCAGAGGAAAATAAGCATCACCCCGTGTTGCTGTTGAGCTGACCTAGGACAAATTGGAGTTTCACCCTCAGATCCGGCTGTCAGTGTGACCTGAGCACCAGGGCAAGACTGCACAGCCAGGCACATAAGGGAGGGGGGGAAGCACGAAGGCGTAAATTCTTTTGTACCCTTCAGTACTGACGAGCTGAATCCCTGAAGGACGCGATTTGATTCAAATAATTGGCACAATGCACAGCAACAGGAGTTAGAAACATGCTGAAGGTAATGAGGGCAATTACATTTTTCCAAGGACATGTAAGTGGAGAGCAAAGAAGTGAAGATTCCCTCTTTCCCTCCTCTGTGTTGCACTAAGAGCCCACGTATCTCCCTACGAGTTAAATTCTGTGCCCAATACATCAGATAAGACTGATGTGGTGTAAGTGATTTAAGACTTTTCAACCCTTGATTACAGAATGGGGTGACTTTAAGTAGTTAAAAAAGAAAAGGGTGAAGTGCCCTCTATGGAAGAAAACTAATCCAAGAGGGAAACAGATGTTGGTTTCAGGCTTTTAAGGCATCACTGTAAATAGGGATTAAAAATAACAGTCAAGTCATAACACATTTTGACTCCACCTATTGTAAAGGGGTCTTAATGGAAAAAACAGTGTTAATACAAATCAGTCTTTTAAAGTAAACAAATAAAAAGCAGCAAGAGAGAGCAGAGTACCTGTTCAGAATGCATCAATTCCACCAGGTCTTCCTCATGCCAAAACACCTAGCAGCATTACGCTGGCATCAGCAGGTTTGCTCTGTGTGTGGAACCATGCACTGCTGCCGTGCGCTGTGGACAGGAGCCTTTCTGTGTCCCACTGGTTCAGTCCAAAAATTCCGCTTTGACAGCAGGCTTCCAGGCTCTGTTGAAACACAGGCTCAGCACACAGAGCTCAGCAGTAAGCAAAAGTCAGCTTCCAGCTGAGAGCAAGAGGAAAAAAGGGAAGAAAATGCAGGCAAATTTCAGCACTGTAAGGAAAGGTCCGGTTTGTGATTTTTCATTGTAAATGCTTATTTCTGAGGACTTAGCATGTGCCGTAGCATTTCACCTACAGTTAAACTTGGTGGATACATCAGGAAAATGTTCTTGTTGGTTTTTTTTTTTTTTTAGATTTGCTCTGTGCTCCAATCTGAGAATCTGGTAAAAATCTTGTACCTTCTTTGGGACCCCCAGCAACCTCCTGTTGGGAATCTAAGCTGGTGGTATGCCATCTGCATAGAAATCTGCTGGTGCAGTAGGAGCCCAGTTCCTTGGGAGTAAAACACTGGGCTAGATGGGAGCTAGTACTGAAATACCTTTCTGAAGTTTCTGTTCCCCACAAGCAGTCTTGTGCACAGAACGGTGCCTAGGAGGACCAACACCCTACGATGCTGCTGCTTGGGAAGGTCCCCCCGGGGCACGCAGGACAATAGAAAGTGTTCACATCCCATATTAACAAGGCAGCACTCGGTTTAGAGAGGTCCTTACAACTGTATTTACACTATTCATTAAAGTGCCCTTTGCATGAACTGCCAAGATTAGTCACACTGCTGCAGTCATTACCACCACAGTAAAGGAGTCCACTAGTTCTCTCAAAGTACAACGTCCTTCTCTCCTCTTCACAAAACAGCACAAAAAACACTGTTACAGGCTTCTGACATACCATGCAGAATTAACTCTCTCTTCTGAGCTGTTTTACTGCACAACCCCTTAGCCCTGGCTGGTACATTGACAGTAATTTCATAGCACATTTTCATGTGAAATGATGCGGTATGCTTAACTGGCTTTCCAGGGAAGAAGAGGCACAAAGACAGGATCCAGAGCTAGTATTTCAAGTAATGGTCACACCTGCAACTCAGACCTGCAGCATTATGTTGACTTCCCCAACTGAGACAATAACAAATACCTTCAAAACAAGTGTGCAAGAGCTTTAAAGAAAATACACTTGAGCTTGCCAGATATCATCATCTTGAATTAAAGCTGGTTTTGGAAAGGAAAAACCCACAGCGCTGCACTGGGCCTCTGACAGGGAAGTGGAAAGAAACTCTCTTAACGATGGCCGGTGCATTTGTTCCTTACTGACCCGTGCCTGATCCTAAGAGGATTCTGTGCATCCAGGTGGAACTCTTCTATGAAACACAAACACCACTCCCCCTTTACATAGTTTTAAAAGAAAACTGGAAAAATGAAGCCTTGAACTTTAGCACTTAAGCAATTTCTGACGAACAGCAAGGAGGACCAGAACTGCCCCAAATAATTTGCAGTTGCCCATGCTGAGATTTCATGATCTTCTGGCCACAACACAATGGGGCTCTGTAGGACACGAGCCCACTGTAACAGGCCTCTGCCAAAACCAAGGTTCCTCCACTTTCATCTGAAACTGGATGAACGCCATTTACTATTAGCAGTTTTAGGTGCATGAGCCACTTCCCCATCCAGACTTTGTGTCAGCATTTAGCATTCTCATACCCACTTGGGCTAAGCAAAACTCCCAGGCACACTTAGATTTAAGCACGTGATTTCAACAGAACTTAGGCATCATCATAAGCGATCTGCCCTTTGTTAAGCTCTCACATGCCATTTTCACGTGGTGTAATATTGCAAGTCCAGGTTTGGGCACTGACTTAGGGCTTGAGAAACTCACTATCAATTCTCTCTCGTGCCAGTGTTCCTGGTCTCACAGTGCCTGGTTTCCTGCTTGTACAAGGAAAATCTCCTGCCCTGCGAGGTGCAGCGCCCTGACACGGCTGGGGAAAGATCTCAGGTAAAGGCTGCTGCTCTGGGCATTACTCAGCCAACACAGATTCAGTGTTAAGTCTTCCCATGCAGTATCAGGAAAACAACATCTGGGAGCTGCAGCAGAGGGAAAGAAAGAAACCTCACTGAAATAAATCCATTTGCACTGTAGTTAAATGCTACAGAGAACCAGGATGGGGGGGAAGTGGGTGAACAGACCAAGGGCAGGAGCAGGGTCAGGAGTTCTCCCTGCACCACTACAAACATGTCTGCAAATTATCTGCTGGATCCCCACAAGCACTCCTACATCTCAGACAGATCTCAGCATTAGCTTGATGTTTCCGCAGCCTAACAGGATGTGGTCACTAGAAGGCAGCCAAACGTCTGCACCACCTCCCTGCTCCTGCTCTGCCTGCACAGCTGAGCAGCAGAGGCAGGGGGAAAGGCTCTGTTTTGCTATCCAAAGTCAGGTCTGCTGCTGTATTTAAGCAGGATGATCACTCACAGATGGAGGGTGCAATTGTTCCTAGACATGCGTTTGGCTCCTGCCTCGTGAAGAAAGCTAAAGTAAATGCAGTCAGCGTACTCCTGAATAGTGTTTATTTGCCACTGTTGAGCATGGGTGGAAGACAGGGCTGATAGCAGAAGTTACATTTATCATCTCTACCCATATCTGATGACTTCAGATGTCCAGCATGCCACTGGTATCTACCTGTTGCCTACCCTCTAACAGCAACACAAAACCACCCTGCTGTGCTTTCTTTCCCCCTTACAGACTCAGTGGGAGCCAGATTAGAGTGATGTATAAGCATCATTATGAGACGGCAGTGGTGGAAACAAGCAAAACCATACAGAGCTGTGTGAATTTGAAATAGAAGGGCAAACACAAGCCACAGCAGGAGACTGGGCAAGCAAAACACCAGAGATAGTAACTAATTATTGCTGTCACCATCTTTTCCCTCCTGCACCGCTACGGCACACAGGGTGGTTAGGAGGTGAAAAGCAGGTGGTCACCTCAGAAAGTGCTTCAAGCTGCCTGTCATTGCCCTGTTCAAGTCCTCCCTTCTGTTTTAGAATGATTTACTTTCAGAAGGAGGAATTTATTGTATTATTTTTTCCCCCAAGGGAGATTCTTTTTATTTATTTTTCCTCCTAGATCTACTTGTTTAAGAGTTGGGAGGTAAGTGAGGAATCAAACAACATGAATCCATCCACCAATAAGGACAAAGAGGGGAGGAGACCTTAACAGCACTTCCTCTTATCCAGACACAGGCCACCTCTCCATTCAAATACTTTTTGATTATACATCTGCAGCCCTGCAGTTAATGCACAGAGGCTCAGGCATACGATACCATTGGAAACTGAAGCTGAAATCATAACTACTGCAGCCTTCTGCTGTGCTAACAGAAAAGGAATAAACACCCCCCCATATGTTAAGGTGTTCTTACAGGTGGTATTAGCTAGCACCTCTCTTGCAGATGTCCATGTAATTAATACCAGGTTTTGAAGAAAAGGGAGGTGTTAAGGCAGATGACAACTGGGCAGGCTAAGCCGAGTTAATTCCTTTCTGGTTACAAC